GCGGTTGTGCTTCTAATATCACTTCAAACATTAGTTTGGTTTTTGATTTTTTATATCTACTATTATAAGACTAATGATTGAAGCTAAATTATGCTACGGGAATATTGCTAAGTTGTAATTAATGTAGAGAAAAGCACTAGGGTCGTGGCATTGCCTAGGTAGCTAATTAACGGGTAGATGCTACTAAGGATAGATTGACATGTTTGGGGCTTATGCTATAACCGTTGCACAATTGTACCCACTCTCACACCTCTCGGTAGAGGGAGTGATTTTGCCCAATTGACTCTCTCGAGACCAATTGGGTAGGCCAATTAGACCAAGCAGCTAGGGTTCAAGTAGGGTGATTACTCTCTCGAGGTTTAACCCGTTAATTGGGACTACCATTTCTCATGGGTCCATTCCAATTCCTTGTTGGGTCAATTTTGGGGTTATAGACTCTCTTTCTCAAGAAGAGTTAAATCCACCAAGCTAGAATCAGTGTTTGCAACCACCAATCCTTAATTAAAACCTAAAATTAACCCAAATAGCAAACACCCAATATCAACCTAACCTTAGATGGCAACACCCATCAATTACCCACACTAGGGTTGAGCCACAACCCTAGCTAAAGAGTTTAGCTACTTATGCTAGATGCAAAAATTAAAGAACTAGATGAAGAAGTAAACATATTAATTCATTGCTAAGAAGAAAATACAATATTGAAGAGTAAGAATGNTAGTGTTGAAGAAAGTAGAACTGCTTGAATTCAAGAAAAAACACTAAATACAGGAAAAATGTAGAAAACAGAAGCATTACATGATATATGATGCATCGAATCAAGAATGTAAGAAAGTAATTAGGCAGTTCAGCAAAAGGAAAACATAGTTTGAACTCTTACAGCAGTCCAGGGTTTGTACTTTTGCATAAACCATGGAATGATTGGGAGGAGAATTTTCTGTGAAACAATCTCCTCCATGCAGATAGGCCATATCTTCTCAATCGCATAGTTTAACCATCTCACTGATTCGGAGTCTGAAAGGACCTGGTAAAAGCCCAAAAAATGCTTTAAACAAAACAAGTCCGTAACTCGAAACTACATCTAGATTCAGCAGGGAAGATGCTGCTTGCTCTAGCTCTTAAAAGATTCCCTCAATAATGAAAGATTAGAATTACAATTTTGGTCTTAAAGGAACACCAAGAAAAAAGGACACATCTAAAACTTGCACTTCTTATTAACTGCAAGAATCAGAATAAAATTCAGGCATATGTCACTTTAGAGAACTGCTACTAATAAATCTTAAATGTTCCAAAATCTATCAGAATATCTTGTGCTTTTTCACACTTCAGTTAATTACTTTTGCCTGTTAAATCCAACAACCAAAAAATAATAAAGTTTCCAAATTTATTAAATACAGTAGCTTCAACAGACCATAAAAGGGAAACAAGACTACTAAGAAAAGAGGGAATCAAATTGCAAAAAGCTTACTCGGCGCTGAGAAGACTGTCTTTTCTCCTCAAACTGTAGTTTCCTTCGTAATTTAGTCACATACTGCTCATGAACCTTCAAAATTTAAGAGCATAATCTTGATAAATCCCACATCAAAAAACTGAAAATTGAAGTGAAAAAAATTGACATAAGACCATCTAAACTTGACAGTCGACGAAGAAACTGTACATGAAGTGATAAAAATACAATCTTTTAGCAACTTACCATGTAGAGATAGATGAGGGAGAGGAAGTAAGCAAAAGGGTGGCAACAATCGAAGGAATTAAGCAACCATAGTAGCAGCAAAACAATGGCCACATGATGAATTATTGTAGCATCCGTTATACTCGTCATTCTTTTATCCCTTAAAAAACTCCTCTTTTTCTGCACACAGTTCTTGATCCAAAAAATGACAGAGACCCACTAGGATAAACGCCTGACCCAAAATTCTGATCAAAACAACTGCAGTAATTACCGAACATCAAAGTCCATTCTCCTTCAATCTCATTAATTGCCTAATAAGTACTCTAGCCATTTATTTCGTACATTTAAACGTAAAAGTATACACTTGTATACGTACTGAAACTGATGGGAGAACAACTTGGGGGTGTTCAAACCGAGCAGATGATTCGGGTTTAAGGTTTGAAAATGGGTTTAGAAAGGGGTAATTACGAGGACGAAGCGGAGACGCGGTGGTCAAGCAAATCGGCGGAAGTTTATCAAAAGAGAGTGGAGATTTTCAAATGAAAAGAGACTCCACTGTACCATGTTGCGAGTGGGGAGAGTAGAGTCCGTGATTTTGGTGTTTTTCCGTTTTCATGCTTTGACCGGCAGAATTTTCCCAATTATATTTGTGGGCTCCATCTTCGGTGATATGTCTGTTATACGAAGGATAACTTATACTAACTTGTTTGGATGTTTGTTACGTGTCGTTCCGTAATGTAACAATTTTGGATAGATTGTGTCGTTTGTCACTCTTTCATTATATTACGCACATGAAAAATAAACTTACAATATTAGAAAGAGAAATTATGATACGGGGTAAAATTATTATATAAAAAGGTAGGGTAAATGATAAAAAAAATTATTTAATAATAATGAAGGGTGAGATTGAGAGAAAGACAAGGTAACGACGCGACCACACCAAATCGGTCGTTACATAAAGTGGCATATTTCGTCGTTATGTAACAACGGATTTAACGACACGATATAATAAAATTTAAGTAACAATCAAAACAAACACCGTATTTAAAATACCAATACGATACAATATAATGGGTAACAATCATCCAAACAAGCTGTAATGGATAGCCTAGGAGATGATTTTCATTTATCGATTATTTAACCAACCCTATTAAAAAATAACAACAACCCCGTATAATCCTCATAAGTGCGGTCTAGAAAGGATAGTGTGTACGCAGACCTTACCCCTACCCTAGGGTAGAGAGGCTGTTTCTGATGGACCTTCGGCACAAGAAGATGAAATGCGACAATAGAATAATAACAATATAACCAGAAGATAGTACCAGCGAGCTAAGAATCAGAAAATATACCTGAAAAAGTGTATGGGTCAAAATCTAACTAAGGGAATTCGGCACGAGGAGATATTATTAGAAGTGATTGTGTCTAGGTCGAATAACGATTAATGGATGGCCGAGGTCAAACGCTTAGAGCAACAGCAACGGCTAGTTTTCTAATACTAGGATATTGGGAGAATATTCAATGGAATATTCTCTGTACTTGTACTTTTAGGTCTGATTAGGAGTATGTCCCATATAAATAGAAAGAGGGAGAAGGTGAAAGGCATGTATTATTTAGGCTGATAAAAACTCTCTTAAAAAATTGACTCTCTAGATAAATACAAACACTACCTTTCTAAAGAGATTCGATTAGTTGTTTATTCTATATTTTTCACATCAGATCCGAGAAAGTCTCCAATATTCCCATAGTTGTATATCCTACATCATTGTCAGAAAGGAGAATCATCTACCTCATTCAATATTGGGTGAATCATTCTCTTTATTTACATTTAGTGTCATTTATTGTTATTTAATGTTTGTTATTCTCATCCCATTATTGACCTTGAACATTTAATACATATTGCATTTAATTGGATTCGGTACTGTCTTTCACAACCCTTGAAAGCCGATTTAGATCAGAAGTTATTATTTTAACTAGGATTAATCCCTTATCTTTTTAATTAATTAGTCTAACCAAAGGTTCACATTTTTTGGTCAAACAATTTGGCGCCGTATGTGGGGATTTTCTAGTTAAAATTTTAGTTTCTTCTAGATCTATAACCAACTACAAAAAAAAAGAAGCAAAACCCTACACTTTCTTGTGCACACAGATCTAACATGGCAGGTAACGGAGAAAAAAGGAGGAAGGCAGTAGCCGACCTCACAGCCAACCTCCTTACCATCAATGAGGTCTCTGAAACGGAGGGTGAGGATATAGCACCAAATACCTTTCCCAGACGAAATGGCTCACCCCCATGGTAGTATCACAGCGTCGCACGATAAAGAAGCCTCCACGTCCACAACGAAAGAGGCGCCACAAACGGTGAAAAAACTACTCGAGGCTTGGCTAACGAATACGTTGACCGGCATCCTTGACAAACCCGCTCAAAAGGCAACCAGAGAGGGCGCAAGGACCTGCGTTGCACCAACAACAGTCGAACAGCACGACCCCCCTCCGCTCGCAGCAGGTATCACTCACAATGCTAATGATGCCATCACAACCATCTTAAGGAAAATGGAAGAGATGGAAAACGAAAACAAAATGCTCCAAGATCAAATGAAAGAGCATCAAGAAAGGGTAGACAAAATACCGGGCGCCCCAAAACTCTTGCCAAAAAGAGATGCCGGCAGGTTCGTTGAGCAACCGTATAGTAATGAAGACGCACCGCATACCATACCTAAGACCTACAAAATGCCTTCGTACCTAAAAATATACGACTGCACGACAGACCCTGAGGATCATGTGACTCACTATGTCACCGCAGTAAAAGGCAACGACCTCGCCAAAGAGCAAGTACCCTCCATCTTATTGAAAAAGTTTGGTGAAACCCTCACGAGGGCACGTTAACTTGGTATTCACAGTTGCCCGCGCGCTCCATTGAAACATTCAAGGAGATGGCCGACAAGTTCATAATGGCTCATGCCGGAGCCAAGAAGGCGGAGGCAAGAGTAAATGATATATTTTCCATCAAATAGTCACCCTTAGAGGGACTGAGGGACTTCCTTGCTCGATTTAACCGCGTAAGGATGACCTTACCAAACGTATTGGAAGGAATGGCCGTGGCAGCTTTCCAGAACGGGTTGAACAGAAGGGGTTCAAGGGCGACCAGAAAGTTGCTGAGTCGGCTCATGAAATATCCCTCAACCACTTGGGATGAAATACACAATGCCTATTGCGCCGAAGTTCGAGCTGACGAAGACGACCTAAATAAACCAACCCAACGACTGACCTCAGTACAAGCCGAGTCCAGAAAGGATTAGAGAAACGACAACAGAAGGGATCTAGCAGGTCCTCGACCCAACCGAGAAAGACATCAATCATACGTCAGAGGTGCCCTCATGCCACCTTCCCGCCACGACGAAGGCCTATCCAGGCCAAGAACAGGGACTCACCAAAACGAGAGAGGTATGCCCCCCTTATTATCTGCCTACAATTTTTGTGTTTCGCCCTCCGAAACAGTCTACGCATGGGAGAAGCTCGGCCCAAAAGTGAAGTGGCCATAGAAGATGAGGTCCGACCTAAGCACCAGGAAGTCGAACACCCTCTGCAAATTCCATTAGTCATAAAACCGAGGACTGCATTGCTCTAAGATAAGGAGTCATGAACATGCTTCACCAGGGACACTTGAAAGAGCTGATGAGCAAAATCGAGGAAGATCCAACTTCGCTCGAGGACGTGAACAACACCAGGGCCTGACCGCTGCCGACTCAACACTACACTAAGGTAGGAAGAGCGGGTTGCAACAGCTTTTACCCGAATAGTGGTTCGGGATCGAATTTCCACAGGGAGCTAGTAATGGAGTTGTATTGTCTGTTTAGTCTAGAATTGCGGTTAGTGCTTCTAATATCACTTCAAACATATTTGGTTTTGATTTTTATATCTACTATTATAAGACTAATGATTGAAGCTAAATTATGCTACGGGAATATTGCTAAGTTGTAATTAATGTAGAGAAAAGCACTAGGGTCGTGGCATTGCCTAGGTAGCTAATTA